GCTATTATAGCGGTAGTGCCATATTTATACTAGCGCTATAGTACTGGAATGATGCTCATATCGCTTTCTTGCCACTTTTGAGAGCAGCGTGGGATAAGGTCCTTCGAATTGTCAGCAACTATCCATGATAAAATGAGATTACACTGCTGCCAAAAAGCTCCATGCAGGACTAGAAACTTGGCAATAAAGAATAGTGTGTGGTGTAGTTGTTTGAACAGTGGACTATAACTCTAGAGCAGGGGTAGGCAACCTTTTTGAGCCGGGGGCCAGGTTGCTGTCTCTCAGACAATTGGGGGGCCGAAGCACCAAAAATACATAAATAAATTTAACAATTTTTTTTAAAAAAATTAAAAATATATGAATGCACACTCTCTCAGCCCCAGAGAAGCCATGGCAAACCCCCTGTGGAGTTTTTGCCAAGAAAACCCCAAAAACAAGTAATAACAACAATAATCAATATCATGATGGCGGGCGGCAATGGCGGCGGCAGGAACGGCCTGGGGCTGGTCCAAAGGCCTCGGGGGGCCGCATCCAGCCCCCGGGCCTTGGGTTGCTTACCCCTGCTCTAGAGAGCAGGGTTCAAAGCCCTCCTTGAGCAGAGAAACCTACTGGGTCACCTTGGGCAAGTCACACTCTCTCAGCCTCAGAGGATGGCAAACACCCTCTGAAGCAACTTGCCAAGAAAACCCTATGATAAGGTTTCTTTATGTTCGGTGTAAGTCAAAAATGACTTGGAGGCACACAACAACAACAACAACAACAACAAGGGCAACACATACCGAGGCAGGAGATTTGTTTTGCTCCTTACAGGAATTACTGGATTTCATTTCCTATCAAAATCATTTTTCATGCAGCAGTATATAACACATGCCCTATTCCCCTCCCCTTTAGAGGCTGTATCCACACTGCAGAAATAATCCGGTCTGAGACTGCTTTAACTGCCATGCCTCCATGCTATGGAATCCTGGGAATTTTAGTTTGTTGTGGCACCAGAGCTCTCTGACAGAGAAAGTTAAATGTCTCACAAAACTACTCAAAATTCCATAGCACTGAGCAGGGTAGTTAAAGTGGTCCCAAACTGGATTACTTCTGCAGTGCAGATGCAGCCTAAGTTTGTTAATTTGTCTATCCAAGTCATTCAGTTTTAACAATCAATCTAATTCTGTGGACACAGCTGTTGGTGCCACAACAAACTACCATTCCCAGAATTCCATAGTATGGAACCAGGGCAGTTCAAGGCCCAAAACACACTGCAGAAATAATCCAGTTTGAGACCGCTTTAACTGCCCTGGATCCGTGCTACTAGGGAATTTTGGGGAAATGTGGGGGGCTGAACAGACTGCCAGAAATAGTCCAGCTTAAGACCACTTTAACTGTCCTGGCTCAATGCTAGGGAATCATGGGAATTGCAGTTTTTTTCTGAGACATTGAGCCTTCTCTGTCAGAGAGCTCTGGCGCCATAATAAACTACAGTTCCCATGATTCCCTAGCACTGAGCCAAGGCAGTTAAAGTGGTCTCAAGATGGATTATTTCTGGCAGTCTGTTCAGACCCGTAGTTTTGTGAGACATTGAGCCTGTCTCTGTCAGAGAGAGAAGTCTGGGGCCACAACAAACTGTAATTCCCAGGTTTCCCTAGCACTGACCCCAGGGCAGTTTATTTTCGATAAAAATAATTTTTATTCAATGCTCAATTGAAACACATATATAAACATAAACATTATACATATCCAAACTTAAAAAAACAGCAGGGAGGGAGAGAGATTAGGAAAAGCTAAGAGAAAGAGAAGAGGGGAAAAAGCCAGGGCAGTTAAAGCAGTCTAGGGTTGCAGACTGCCAGAAACAGTGCAAATTGAGTCCACTTTAAGGGTTAGGGTTAGTGCTAGGGAATCATGGGAATTGTTTGTTTTTTCCTGAGACATTGAGCCTTCTCTGTCAGAGAGCTCTGGTGCCACAATAAAATACAGTTCCCATGATTCCCTAACCCTAACCCTTAAAGTGGACTCAATTTGTACTACTTTTGGCAGTTTGCAACCCCCCTCAAACTGGATTATTTCTGGGGTGTGTTTTGGACCAAAGAGGCATCAAACCGGATTACTTCTGCAGTAAGGACGCAGCTGAGAGCTGAAGAAGCAAAAACAAGGCGAGTAGCATGAGAAATAAAGAAAGGAGGGGGAATAAAGTGTGGGAAGGAGTGACTAAACTGACCTGTTATAACTCACAGTAGCTGCAAGACCTTCGTTTTCAAAGTACGCGCTCAGCCTCACTCTGCTGCCAAGAGGCTGTTGCCTAATGACGCCCCATCGCCAACATTCCTCGCGCGCCTGCGCAGAATTCGATCGCAAGCAACTCCTTGCGCGCCTGCGCAGAGCGGTCTTTCGGCCTCAAGCAACTCCTTGCGCGCCTGCGCAGAGCGGTCTTTCGTGCTCGGAGCAACGAAGATGGCGGCGCCCATGTGAGCCGGCGAAGGGAGGCGGGTGGGAGTGAGAGCCCTTTTCTGTTTTCTCCTCCTCGGTTTCCCGGAGGGAGCTGTGTGAGGGTTGGCGGAGGTGAGCAGGAAGAGCGGACGGGGATGGTTGCTCTGGGTCCTTAATTTTGTTAAAATCAGTAAAGAAAATTAAAAATTTGGTGGGGAATGGGAGTATTCGCTGGGGGCTTTTGGGAAGCCTAGGATGACCTGGTAGATGTCCTCCTCACCTCAAAGGAGGACAAGGCACCGCAGAGAGGAGGGCGTTATAGGAAAATGGAGGACATTACACACTATAACCCCAAAAAGGCACTCATAGAAATGTAAATTCATACTTCTTACTCATGCTCGAAATGGAGTTATTATTATTATTGTTATTATTATTTTAATTTTCTTATATCCCACCTTTCTCCCAGCATAGGGACTCAAAGGGACTCACTACCAAATAAAAGCTAAACATACTCCTATAAATCTAAATTCATGCTTAGTCATGCTCAAACTGGGGGACATTAAAGACAAATGGAGGGCACCATTATTATTATTATTATTATTATTATTTTATTTTCTTATATCCCACTTTCTTCCAGCATAGGGACTCAGTACTAAATATAAACTAAACACGCTCCTATAAATCTAAATTCGTGCTGCTTAGTCATGCTCAAAATACAGGGCATTGTAGAAAAATGGAGTACACTACACAGTATAACCCAAAAGGCATTCATAGAAATGTAAACTCATGCTTCTTAGTGATGCTCAAAATGCAAGACATTCAAGACAAATGGAAGCCATTATTATTATTATTATCTTATATCCCACCTTTCTCCCAACATAGGGACTCACTACTGACTAAAAGCTAAACACTCGTAAATCTGAATTCGTGCATCTTAGCCATGCTCAAACTGTAGAACATTGAAGATAAATGGAGGACACTATTATTATTATTATTTCTTGCCTTTCTGTGAGCATAGGGACTCAAAGGGACTCACTACTGACTAAAAGCTAAAGACTCCTATAAATCTAAAATTGTGCTTCTCAGTCATGCTCAAAATGGAGGACGTTTTGACATTCCTTCTGAACAGAAGGTTGAAATGTAGGGCATGTCTTGGAAAAGGAAGTCATCTGGTCACTATGGGGAGGCTCCTAACTACTGTATGCAGGTCTGCTTTTCTTTTCCTGACTGGGGTTTCAAATAAACCCCCTCTTCCCCATGCACCCTGAAATCAGTAAGCTAGCAACTCAGACAAAGTCATTTACCTTTGTTGTTGGAATTCTAAGGCTGCATCCACATGGCAAAAATAATCCATTTCAATTGCCATGGCTGAATGCTATGAAATTCTGGGATTGGTGGTTTTATGAGACATTTTGCCTTCTCTGTCAGAGAGCTCTGGTGCCACAACTACAAATCCCAGGATTCCATAGCATTCAGCCATGGCAGTTAAAGTGGTGTCAAACTGGATTATTTTGGCAGTCATAAACATAGCTGTGTTAGTCTGGAAAATCAGTATGCAAAGGGATTTTGCAGCACCTTTGAGACTAACTTAAAGAAAAGTTGGCAGCATGAGCTTCCATAGACTTAAGTCTGCTTTCTTTAAATGCATTGGAGGAAGTAAGCGCAAGTTTACAACAGCTCATGCTACCAACTTCTTTCTTTCAATGAGTCTCAAAAGTGCTACAAGATACCTTGGTTGTTGTGTGCCTACAAGTCAGTCACTACTTGTGGAAATCCTAATTTATTTAGTAGTAATGTTTTATTCATTATACCCTTCCTTTCTCCCAATAATGGGACTGAAGACAGCTCAGAACAAACCATTCACATTGTTGTTGTTGATAACCATTCTTGAGTTGACCTCAACCCATGGCGATCCTGTGGATGAGACATCTCCAAGACTCCCTGCCCTCCACTGCTCTGCTTAATTCCTGCAAACTCATCCCCGTGATCTTCCTAATAGAGTCCATCCATCTGGCATGCAGCCTTCATCTCTACTTTCCTCCACCTTTCCTAGCATTAATTTTCCCCCAATGAGTCATGGCTTCTCATGATGTGTCTGAAGTACAACAACCTCAGTTTTGTCATCCTGAAATTTTATAAAAATATAAAATATAAAATTAAACAATCATATATTAAACTGCAAAAACAGTACCACATAGCACAAAGAGTCCAACCACAACAGTTTGTAAAAGCTTGGTGGCACAAAAATATTTTAAATTGCCAGACGGAGGGCAAAGACAGGGCAAGCCTGGCCTTTCTGGGAAGGGAGTTCCAAAGTCTGGAAGCAGCCACCGAAAAGCCCCTCTCCCTTGTTCCCATCAAATGAGCCTGAGGAAGTGGGACAGAAAATAAGGCCTCTCCAGATGATCTTAAAACATTAATGGGCTCATACAGGGAGAAATGATCCTTCAAATAGCCTGGACCCAAGCTTAAGGCAGTCCTATCACTGGGTTTTATTGACAAGATTTATTCAGAGGGAGTTTACCCTTGCCGCCTTCTGAGACTGAAAAAGTGTGACTTGCCCAAGGTCACCCAGTGGGTTTTCATGGCTGAATATGGGTTTGAACCCTGATCTCCAGAGTCTTAGTCCAACACTCAAACCATTACACCATACTGGCTCTTCCACTTACCTTTACTTTTAGGTATCTATCTTATCTTAAATATTTTAATTCCTCTGCTCATAAATTGTGGCACACATAGTCCAAATGCTGTAAAAATAAGTTACAACAGAGTAAATTTGTAATAATGTAAATTATTTTGCAACCAAACAATGATACAGTCAGCCCTATATCAGTTAACCCATGCTGCCTTCTGAGGCTGAAACCATCTGCGGCTTGGAGCATCCATGGATGGCCCTGATCCATTACTGTCAATGGAGGCATGTGCACGTAGCTTCACAAATATGGTTGTGCACACATTGCACATCCATTGACATTAATGGAACTTGAGGCCCCATGCTTTTTGCTATCTGGGAACAGGGGGGCTGTCCGGAAGAGAACCCCCACAGATGCAGAGGGCTGACTGTATATCAACAGCAAAATGTTGAGCTTATAGATGTCTGCATTCAGTACATCTTGGGAAGAAACTCCTGAGACATACAAGATAGGAAAAAAGTTGGGTTAGAACCACCTCTGATAGTTTCTATTTCCAGCAGTGAGGAGTTATTGACATGGGAAGGGTCATATAGCTTCCAAGGTCTGGGTGCAAAGCATACCGCAGAAATAACCCAGTCTGAGACCTCTTTAACTGCCCTGGCTCAATGCTAGGGAATCCTGGGAATTGTATTTTTTTTGTGGCACCAGAGCTCTCTGATAGAGAAGGCTAAATGTCCCACAAAACTAAAGTTCCCAGAATTCCCTAGCATTGAGCCAGGACCATTAAAACAGTCTCAAACTGGATTATTTCAGCAGTGTCTTTGGACCCTGGTTTATAGTGTAGTTTCACACCTTCAAGAAGTATGTATGATAACAATTCTTCACACATCCACATTCTGAGATGTATAGATGACTACTAACATGGATGATTTGCAAAGAACAGAGGCCGTCGATGGCTACTAAGTATGATACTTGTATATGATCGCCAGGATCAGAGGAAATATGCCTGTCAATACCAATTGGGTAGGCACTTGAGTGAAAGGGTGCTATTCAGTTCATCAGGTTGGCCACTGTGGTAATAAAATGCTGAGCTAGCAAGAATTAGAAAAGTTACTTTTTTTGTCCAACCCTCTCAGAATTTATGGGACATGGTGGCTTAGAATTTGTGGAGTCGTAGTCCAAAAACAATCATTTCCAAGATCAAGACTGTAGGTTTTTGGTCTGATCCAACAGGGAATATTTGATTCTTTCGAATGCATAAATCCTCTTCTCACATGGGCACACACTCCTGTATATTCTGTAAACCTCTGTGAATGCATTCATTATTTTGGAAAGATGTTGCACAAGGTTGTTCATGTTCTAATATCTTCAATGTAAACAGTAGTTAAGATAGCGCTGTCCCAACATAATCTTGTTATGAATGTACCTATTATTTTAAATCTATTTAAAAATCTGTCAACCTCCTTTCCAGACTGAGTGCTACAGAGCCCTGATGTATATGAAAAAAAAGGGGGGAAGGGAAATGATATAAGATTGGCTACTCTAAAGTAGGCAGCCTGTGCGGTTTGAGTATTGGACTATACGCTGGAGACCAGGGTTTGAATCCCTGCTTAGTAATGGAAACCCCCTGGGTGATCTTGGGCAAGTACACTCTCTCAATCTCAGAGGAAGGCAAAGGCAAATCCTTTCTGAACAAATCTTGCTGAGAAAACCCTATGATAGGTTCACCTTAAGGTTGCCATAAGTTAGAATGACTTGAAAGCACACAACACAATAACTATGTAGTAACACAGCCACAGAGAACATAGGTCTGAACAGCTCAAGAAAAGGATCAATATTTAGCTACCATGCCACTTGTAATTTGAGGGGGGTACTTTTACCTCTCAAACGTATAGAGGAACCCAAGGAACAGTCTCATTTGGGAGAAATTTTCTGTAGATAGTGGGCACCACAACAGAGATGGCTTCAAATCTCTTCAGTTTAAACATTTGAATGGATGATACACAGAAAAAGGAAAATCTCAGAAGATGAAGGTGGATATTTCTGAACCCATGTTTGTCCCAGGACAGTTATCATTAATTTTAAAATGATCATTGTTTTACTTTTAAACCAAAGCACTCCATTTCTGTGAGGCTGATATTTTTCTCTTTTCCTTTATAGGTTGCCTGTAATTTTAATAATAGTTGACTTTAAAAAAAAAGGCTTGCTGACATATTCTGCAGAATGTGGTTCCTTTACCACAGAATTTTTACATGTCCTTTATGCTGGAGAAGACAGTTAAATCGAGTAGTGGACCCAACGAGATGGCAGAAGACAGTAGTTCCAAATTGTACCAGAACTATTTACAGTGAAACAGGGAAGTGGGAAGAAAAATATGGATTGGAGACTAGAAAGAAAGTTGAAAGCTGGTGGCATTCAAGAATAAAAGAAGAGTTCAAGAAAACTGCCAAAATAGATGTAAGGATGATGGCAACATTCACCTCAGCATTAAGTATTCTTTGTACTTGAAAACAATGATTGTGTGTTTTACTGACTTCATGAAAATGTATCTGCTCATTAGAATCCCCTCACCATGTGTTTTCATTTCAGCCTTCTGGAGTATACCTCTTCATCTTCTATCTCATCCTTCCTATACAAGTTGCCACTCACTATCTTGGTCTGTTTAAATACTCAGTTCATCCTGTTTGATCACTAGTCTGAAATAATTGATATATACCAGTCACAACTTCAGAACATAATCTTCCATTCTGCAGCCCCCAGGATTGTAATCCAAATTTTGAGGGTCATTTGCTACTTAGATATCCATGATTGTTTTGATTTCTTTCTCTTAAGTGCATGCAACACACCAGTTTCTTTCAGAAACATCATTGCTCTACATACATATGCTTTTACCAGGCCTTCCCAGTTGGCTGTTAGAACAATGCAGAGAACATTTAAAGATTGTTATTTGACATTTGTGTTCTGCCTTCCTTCTAATTGCTCAGAATGATAAAAGTGAAGTTATGTTATTTTCTCTATGAAGCAAGCTGGGCTGAGACTAGTCATCCAGTGAGATTCCTGTTTTGGTACGGATTTGAACCCAAATCTTGTCAGTACAAATTCAGCATTCAACCACTACACCATTCTGGCTCTCTACAGTCATGCAGAATCTGACTGACATCCTAGGCTGGTGTTTCATGTTCACTGGAAGTTAGCTGGGATGTACTTACGTTGATTTCATGGACTTAATATCATGGAGAGTAAACATTTTTCTTGAGGTCAGAATATGAGGGAGAAAAATCAAAACACAGACGTGCTGATCTAGCACTCCCAGCAGGATGGTGTTTCTTTAACAGCTAGCTAGCTGTATGGCAAGTAGAAATTCAGCTTGTGAAACTCTTCTGGCATTTTTGTGTGCTGGAAAAATTTCATCTTCTAAATTTTTGCTTTTCATGCTCTATAAAAGGGGCAAGATCCCTACTTGGAAAAGCTGGCTACTTAGGTCCAAAACCCACTGCAGAAATAATCCAGTTTGAGACTGCTTTAACTGTCCTGGCTCAATGCTAGGGAACTCTGGGAACTGTAGTTTTTGAAACATTTAGCCTCTGTCAGAGCTCTGGTGCCACAATAAACTACAGTTCCCAGGATGCAGTGTGTTTTGGACAAAGCTTACAGTTGATAAAGATAATTATGATTGATAATGATAGTTATGATTATGGATACCTTTTTCTAAAAAAGAAGCTGATAGGATTTCTATCATTGCAATGGACAAGTTAAAAGAACTTGGAGTTTTAAGGGTAAATCTAGGGTGGAAGGTTTAGGAAAAGATTTGTTGAGCTAATTGATGTTTAGAGAAGACATTTACTAATTTTTTAAAAAATAATTTTAGGTGTGAAAACAAACTGACAAATGCTACCACCACTCTTCCTACCGGGGATAGTGGAACTTTCTCTAAATGGTTACCTTTCAAATATTCCCCATACATCTACTTTTGAATTTGGCCTTTTTAAAAGAATAATGACTGACTGCATGCCTAGGGAGAGAACAAGCTTATTCTTGCATCGATCCTGAGTTCAAATCGAACAAATGAAAAGAAGGGATATAGGACTGAAGAACCATGTGCATCAAAATGCTTACTACATTAAGATTCAGAAATGTTTTATGAAATGTGTATCCTAATATATTTGAAATTGATTGTTCATCATTGATAAATGCTTCGCAGAACAGTGTTAAGAGGCTTGCAAAGTGGTATTAGTTATACAAACAACAACCTCAGGACTGAGAACCAATTTAAAAGATTTTTAATTGACTGGTCATATGTATTACAGCAGATTCCTCAGTTGAGCATTCCCTGTTTGCACTGGATTAAAAATTCCAATATCAAGAGAATCATGGCCCTGTCATGTGTTGAAAGGAGTTGTAGTCCCACACATCAGAAGTGCTCCAGAGTGTTCAAGGGCTTTTAGTTTAAATACACAGTACCAAAATGTTACTGTCTGTATCCTTTGAGAATATTAAGGAAAATGTGAGAACTTATAATTAAGCAAAAGCTATCAAATATTACCGGAAAGGAAGGTCAAACATACCCTTAATCTTTTTATATATATGAATAAGCAAAAGCAATGCAGCTTCATTTATATACCGCTTCATAACACACTATGGGGTGTCTAAGCGGTTTACAACTGTAAGCTCGTTGCCCCCCAACAGTTGGGTACTCATTTTAACGACCTTGGAAGGATGAGCCCTGGCTAGTATTGAACTTGCAACCTTGTGGTCTATGAGTGAGTGGCTTCAGTACAGGCATTTAACCACTGCACCACCAGGGCTCCTAAGTTATTAAAATTCACCCTCACCATCAGCTGCTTTTGAGACAAACAGTATAAAAAGAAAGCAAACATATATGTGATTTTTAAAAATCAAATTGTGGTAAGAATGTTTTCAGAGTTAACAGCTTATTCTGCATCTATTTTTCTTTGTCTGTTTTTTAGAAATCAAGGCCAAAGTTTTATGTTCTGTCAATGTTTCCATACCCTTCTGGAAAACTT